ATTCATCATAAAGAATTAAAGTCATCATACTACAGTGATACATGCATGCCATTCATGCAGCACAACTCACAATAGCCAAACCATGGAACCAGTTCTTTACCTTCTTGGTCACAACAAATGCCTTGAAAAATAAATGGCACCAAATTGTGGGCTCAACATCTCTGGGCTTGCTTTCTGTATGAAATCTTGGATCTGCAACCCTTCACTACCTCTACAACTCATTAAGGGAGGAAGGTACTGGGATTTAACTCAGGAGTGCTTTGTCACTGAGCTACATCCCTAACACGTTTTTTTTTTTTTTTTTTAATTTTAAGACAGGGTCTTGTTAAGTTGCTTAGGGTCTTACTAAATTTCAGAGACTCTCCTTGAACCTGTAATCTTCCTGCCTCAACCTCCCAAGTCTCTGGGATTGCAGGTGTGCACCACCACACCTGGCCCTCATTGAGGCTTTCTAACAAAATTGAAAAATATATTTTATCTAGCTTCTTTAAATATCATGACTTGGTTGTCTTTCCTCCTCCTAATTCCAGTTCTGTCACTAGGAGTAAGAGTAAAGCCGAAAAAGATTAATCATCACAGGAACTAAAGACCAGCTACAAATCATTTCAGTCTTGATCTTAATTACATTAAAGTGATCTGGGAATTTCCTGTATTCTTTGCCTAACTGTCTATCAGATGCAAATAAATACTTTCTCTGTAATAATATGTAGTTAAGAGCCTCAAATTAGTTCTAAAATTTTCAAATACAGTACCTATATCCAGTAGCACAACTAGGCATACAAGAATGTAAAATCTGCCAGGAGCAGTGGCACATACCGATAATCTCAGAGGCTCAAGAGGCTGAGGCAGGAGGATTTTAAAGGCCAGCCTCAGCAACTTGGCAAGGTTCTAAGCAACTTAGCAAGAACCTATGTCAAAATGAAAATAATAAAAAAAGGCTGGGGATGTGTCTCAGTGATTAAGCAGCATTGGGTGCCAAAAATAAAAAATAAAAAGACTGAAAACTAATATAAAAACCAACATTTGGAACATATATAAGAGATTCAGATAATGGAGTCATTAGATCTTAACATTAAAACAGCAATAATTCCTGTACTTTGAGTGCTCTCCCCCTACCCAAATTAATATGTTAAAGCCCTAATCCCCTATGTAATGATATTTGGGAGGTAATTTCTTTCTGAATGAAATTAGTGTCCATATAAGAAAAGACATAAGAAAAATCACATACCCCCTCCCTTCCACTCTGTGATGGTACAGCAAGAAGGTGATTTGCAAATGAGGAACAGGGCCCTCAGCAGGAATCAAATCAGTCAGCACCTTGATTCTGGACTTCCTAACTTCCAGGACTATGAAAAATGAGTGTATAAAGTTTTAGCCACCTCCTCTCTGATATTTTTTTAATAGTGGTCTGAGCTGACCAACACAACTAATATGTTTAAGGTGTTAGAAGACAAGGCTAGGGGGTTTGGGAAGATAAATAGAAAGTATACAAATTCATGCACATTCCAGAAAAAGAATAACTGAAATAAAGAATTCAACTGGTTTAACAGCAGGTTAGAAACAAAGAAGAACCACTGAACTACAATGTAAATCAGAAGAAAATATCCAGACTGAAGTATAGAGAAAAAAAAGGATAAGAAATACACAAAAGAACAAGAGGCTACGGAAAACATTTTTGATTGAAGACAGTAAGAAATAATAAGCTTTCTTCCTCATAAGTGAATTTTCAACTCTTTTCTTGCTATAAACTGACTTTTTTGTTGTTGTTGTTAAACAAAACATCTGAATTGGATAATCCATGAACTCATGAAATAACACAGTCAATGTGGCTGGACCTATACCAAGCCCATGTCTCAAAGGAAGAAATTAACCTATGACATAAATAATAAATAAATGAAAACTTTTGGGTTTTTTACCTTTCCCGGGGTTGTTGCTCAAGTTTTTCAAGCCGCACAACAGGTGTCTGGTTTGTCTCCTTCGAAGTAGTTGGAGTCCCAACAGTAACATTCAGGTCTGGGGATAAAAATGCTGGATATTCTACTGGTCGTGGTGTAATAACATTTCTGAAAAATGGTAATAAAATTAAATATTGATATATATCAAAGTGCACTTCTAAAACCAGTGGTAGCTATTACTTCTGAAACCTTCTGTCTTTTATTCAGCTTGCCTATCTACCTTAAGCCATCAGAGTATAGAGTTAAGAAAGAAGAAAATAATCAGGAATTATTGCTGAGAAAAGTGCTAACTTCACTCTGCTTTCTACTAAGACCATGAGCAGCAAGGGGGAAAAGAGAGACCTGAAGAAAGAAAAATAGAAAATATCTGAGCCCAGACCTCTCTCCAAATATTTACAGCTGAATCTGTCTCCCAAGTATCTCAGTCTTTAAATCTATTAATTCTATGGAATATATTGTGTGTTAGACACTGTGTTCATACGACTCCTTATAAAATATTACCTCAGTTTTCATAGTAAATGCATCTAATGAGATGAAAATCATTAGATCCTACTTTACACATAAAAAGCTAGGTTTTTGGGCTGGGGATGTGGCTCAATCGGTAACACGCTTGCCTGGCATGCGTGCGGCCCGGGTTTGATCCTCAGCACCACATACAAACAAAGATGTTGTGTCTGCCGAAAACTAAAAAAAAAAAAAAATATTTAAAAAAATTCTCTGTCTCTTTAAAAAAAAAAAAAAAAGCTAGGTTTAAAGAGGTTAAGCAACTACCCCCAAAGTCTTGCAGCTGAGAAATGACAAAGCAAACATCTGAACACAGCTTCTTTGACAATAAAACTCATGTTCTTAAACTGTATTATGCATAGTGGTAAGCACCTTAAACTCAGTATGTCAAAACAGAGCTCACCATTTTTCCCCTTCTTTATATATTTATATATTATTGCCTCAGAATTCTCTGGTTCAGGAAGTAATAGCACCACATCAATCACCTACAAGTGCAGTAATTCCTTTGTTTGCTTGCTGATGCAGAGGAATGAGGAGCCCAAAGTGGCTAGATAGCAGTATTCACATGCAGTTCTGTGGAAGTCCTTATGTCTACTTGTCCCCTTAGAACTAAGACTTACAGATCAGTGGAGGATAAGGTTACATGAAACAGAGCAAGAATTTTGCTAGAGGATCTCTATGGGTAACACTGAGTAGCATAACTTCCATTTTCACACCTTTATACATGAACGCATGCATGAATCTTGACTATGGGAGAAAAACAATATATATCAGTCACTGATTCAGAGCACAAACAACCTTCTAAAGAACCTTGCCCCAGACTTAAAAGTGCCACCCAGCTGCTACTGTCACTGAATCTTCAAAAGGCTATTCCATTGTTAATCCAGATGCTTCAGTATGGCAGGGAACATGATAAGACCAACAAATTTAATGATCATGGAAACAAAGCTGCATTTTGTTTGCTATGAAGTGAGTTCCTTGATTAGAACAATGCTGTGTGGAATACCATGATCATGGAAAAGGCACCTTTCAAGTTCATAAACTGTAGTTTTGTCAGAAGCACTACATGTAGGGAAGAAAAATATGTAACTAGTGTAAGATTGGGCCCGGTCACATAATATCATTTCCGTTTGATGATGAAGTATCACTGTGCACTGCCAACTTTATGGCTTAGTGGGTCAGACAACCAAGTTAATGACAGCAGCTCAGTTTGCATGGTAACTTGGTAGCTTATGATTAAACATTCAGTCTCTACTAAGTCCAGTGTCATACTGGAACTCTTTCTGAAAAGTAGAGTAGCTATCTGCAGGTGGTGATAGGACTTTGTTCCAAAATTCTAAGGGTCTGTTCCATGATTCATCCATAGGAGCTTGCTAAAATCTCCAAACATACTGTCTCCATCTGTCACTGACATGTATTATGCCACTAGATCTGTTGTATCATATGGGTCCAAGTGGCAGAGCAACTGGCAAAGCACCTTGCAACTGTTGCAGAGCCTTCTCTTGTTCTGGGTTCCATGCAAAACTACCAGCTTTGGGGGTCACTCAATAAATAGGCCATACTAACACACTCAAATGAAGAACAGGGTACCTTCAAATCCAAATTAGCCCACTAGGTATTGTGTCTCTCTTTTGGTTGTAGGAGGGAACAAATGCAACAATCTCCTTAGAAGGGATATCTCAACATGCCCAATATCACTGGCCCTTAGAAATTCCACTGAGATAGAAAGCTCCTGAATTTCTGCATATTTATTTCCTACTCTCTGATGTGAAAATGTCTCATTGATAAACCTAGGATAGTTGATACTTCTTATTCACTAGTCCAATCAGCAAAATTTTACCAATGCAATAGGCCAGTATGAGATTTTACAGAAGGAAAACGTGATCAAGATCCCGGGAAACTAAATTATGACTTAGGGCTGAGAGCTGATATACCTCTGAGGCAGGAGAAGGAAAGTATAGCGCTCTTCTTGCCAGCTAAATGCAAACTGATTCTGATAGTCTTTACTAGCAAGTAAGGAAGAAGAAGCATTGACTGGATCTATAGCTGTATACCAGATACCACTAGATGGGTTAATTTACTCCAAAACTGGTGCCACAGCTGCAACTGGACTCATCACCTAGTTAATATCACAATAATCCTCTGTCTCTAAGCCATATGTCTCTGCACAGACCAAATATTCAATAAATAAAGGATCAATTACCTAGGTAACTTGCCCAAAGTCATATAGCTAGTACTGGAACCCAACTAGTCTGGCTCTAGTGCCTGAATTCTTTTTTTTTTTTTTTTTTAATACTGGGGATTGAACCTAGGGGTGCTTAAGCACAAAGCCACATCCTTGCCCTTTTTTCATATTTTATTTATATATAGGTTTCACTCAGTTACTTAGGGCCTTGCTTCGTTGCCGAGGCAGTCTTTGAACTCATGATCCTCTTGCCTCAAACTTTCAAGCTGCTGGGATTACAGGCATACATCATCCAGTGTAGATCCTGGGTTTTTTGTTGTTGTTGTTTTGTTTTGTTTTGTTTTGTTTTTGGTACTGGGAATTGAACTCAGAGCCACTCAACCACTGAGCCACATCCCTAGCCCTATTTTGTATTCTATTAAGAGAAGAGACAGAGTCTCACTGAGTTGCTTAGTGCCTTGCTAAGTTGCTGAGGCTGGCTTTGAACTAATAATCCTTCTATCTCAGCCTTCTGAGCCACTAGGATTACACAGGCACCACCACACCTGATCCTGAATTCTTAATCGCTATACCTTGCCTATGCCTACTCCTCTCTCTCACATTATCCCCTCCTTGCTCCTGTGCTGCTCTTAGATACTCACAGCTAACTACTCACTATCCACTCACAACTAGCTACTGCAATACAGCATAGCCTTATATAGTGCCCTCTTTGGAGAATGTGTTCCCACACCCCTCTGAAATCAGCTTAATGTATCTTTTTTCTTTTTCCAAAATCTTACCTCAAACATTTCCTTTTTTGTAGCCTTACTTGATAATACTGTCTTCCCCAACTCCTCAGAGAATTAAAAGCGTATTAACTGTCCCATGGTTCTTTATGTTTAGCTCTGGAAGGAGTCTAGAAGGGTTCTTATCCTATCTGCATTATAATGCTAGTTATCATTAATTTTTTGCATATTATCTTTTCATTAAACCATGAGATTGAGGTCAGCAACCAGATCTCATTTATCTTTGTAGTTTCAGTGCCTGGGGGATATAGCAGACATTCAGTAAATTCTTACTTAATCAATAAACAGAGGGAGAAATGTCAATATATAAAGGAAACAATACAACAACTTTATTATTTTCACAGATCACAATACCAAATAGGTGATATATATTTTTAATACCCAGTATTGGTATGACTAGGGAAAATAGGCATTTAGAAAACAATTTTACATTCTATATGGAGTTCCCTCAATACCATTTCAGATTTTTTTCCACTTCTTATTCTTTAACACTAAAGATTAAATCTCTTTCTTGAGTGCTCATTTTTCTTTAATTTATTTTTATTGTTGAAATTTCAAGATAGATCAGCATATTATATTTTAAATTACTTTTATCTTGCTATTGATGGTTTTTACCATGTCTTTTTACTGTTGATTTGGAAGTAACAATTGGAGTGTTGTGGAGGTGGAAGTAACATTACTATACTGCAGAACAGAAAACTGACAACTACCTGACACCCTGATCTTAAAAGTCCCTGACCTCTATTCCCAGAAAGGAGTCTCTCACTGGACAACTTTCTCATTAAGCCTCTCCTGCTCCTCCTTCAGGCATGAAGGAGGCTCTTTCTCTCTCTTTCTTGACTCCACATCTTCTCATCTCCTTTCTCCAAGACTACACCCAGAAATTCAAATATTTTCCCACCTTATTAAACAAAACAAGTCAGTATTTTCTTTACCTTGGATTCTAGCCCATCCTGGTCATGTCCTCAAGCCTTTTTAAGATAACTAAATTGTTCTGTCAAATTTTACTAAAATTGTACATGATCTGACCATATTAACGAGACTTAAAACACTTACGTTAGGGGATCTGTTCTTTCTGGAGGTGGTGCAATATTCATAAACATAGATGGTTCAACAATTTTTTGAAGAGGTTTTAACTGAAGAAAAATGTAATTATATTTTTAACACTATTTAGTTACAACTTATCCTATTATTATTAATCCCTCACGATGATGAGAGAGTACTTAAGTGACAATATAAGAAGAAAAGGCATGAAGAAAGGAATGAACTTTTGGGGGTATTAAATATTTACAAGTTTTTTTATAACTTTAATCTTATTCAATTCATTTAATAAATCAATGAGGTAGGTAGTAACTGCTTATTTTACAGATGATACCAGAGATCAGTAATTTGGTTAAAATTAAACAATAAGCATGAGAGCCAGGATGTGAACATAGCCTTTTCTCTCCTTGAGTATGGTATTATTTTTACTGGACCATGATAGATAAGGCTAACTAAATAGTTCATAGGCATAAAATCAGCTGAATTTTTATGATACAACCCATTCTTTTCTATATGTATATCTTTGTTCCTTGTTTTAGTAAATTCCACATATATAAAACAATACCTGCTCGGTTTTATATGAAAAGTATCTATCTCCTTAAGCATTGCTGTGTTTACATGATATGCTTTTATCTGGACTCAAAACCTACTTCTGAAATTCATGCTCATAAACTATGACTATCATCAAAAGGTCTGAACAATTAAGGGTTCCTAGATAGCCTAACTTATCATAAGAAAACAGAAAGAAAAACAAAATAGAAAAGAAAACCTGTTCCTAGAAGCTTTCACCTGTATATTATTTACTTCTTCAAAATACATTAAAGATAATTGTGATATGCCATAGGCAAAATTTTAAAATATATAGATTTCTCAGTTAACATTGCAATATGCTTAGTCAATAAGGCTGATGTTCCCACTTTCAATTACTAATTTTAAAACACTCAACACTTTAAAAAATATTGAAATATACGGATCATGTCCCCTATTTAATAGCAGCACTAATGGGACTGGATTTTTAAATGTCCCAAAACTGTGATAATACTCAAAGATATCAAGAGTTCTTTTAAACAGAGGGTAAGAGTACATATTAGTATAATTTTTCTAGAACAAATTCTTAACAAGGCCATTGTTTTGAACAATAATTTTCTTTCTAAGAATCTAGCCTAAGGATGTAAAGAAAAGAATACAGGTTAGTACACAAATATTTATATATGGTAGTGAATTTGAACAGGCAAGAAGCTATCTTCTCTCAGTATATTACTCTCTTGATGAATTGAAAAAGTTCAAACAACAACAGAAACAATCATGGTTGTTTTTTCAAAATTGAAAACAACCATGGAGGAAAAATCAAAGTAGAAAACATTATCCGAATAACATTATTTTAATAACTCCATTTTTAATATTTTTAAGTGTAAAAATCCACACTCATTTCTTGAATACTTAAAATACGTTCATTTTCAATTTTAATTACATAAATGTGTTATAGGTTTAACACAAAAGCAAGTTTTGTAATAAAGTTTCTGATATGAAAGATACATTTAAAAATGTATAAGGAAATAATGGTAAAGTCTTTTGTTTTTAGGCAGAAGAAAAGTCTAGACACCTCAAGGGCAGAAAGTAGAGCAGCATTCTTTCAAAAACATTTATTTTGGTACCAGGGTTTGAATCCAAAGACACTTACTTACTAAACCATATTCCCCAGGACTTTTTTTATTTTTTATTTAGACACAGGGTCTCACTAAGTTGCTTAGAGTCTCTCTCTAAGTTGCTGAGGCTGGCAGCAAAACTGAGATCATCCTGTCTCAGTCCTCCCAAGCTGCTGGGATTACAGGCATGAACCACCATACCCAGCAAAATACTAATTTTGAAGAATTTAACAAACTGGAAAAAAACAGAGGCTCAAAAGAAAATGATTTGAATGAAGAATCAAAATAGAATCAAAGTTTTTAAAAGAGGGGAACTAACCTGATGTGAAAATCCATAACCAAAATTTCCATAGGAGAACATAAATTCCACCTCCAACCTGCAGATAAACTAAAAATGGCAACTGTATTTTATTGTTTGATCAGAATGGTATTTCACTAGAAAGGCGATAGCAAGTGATAGTTTTACTTCACAAATATATAAGTTACAAAAGCCCAAGTATGACTCTCCAGATTTTAAGAAATAAATATTTACACAAGGAGTACCTATAGAAAACCTATTCCTTTCCTGAAATGTTAAAATCTTTCATGTTAGAGTTAAATATTTTTGTATATGGAAAGTATCAATTCAAAGACACTGGCATAAATACATGTTCATATACATATATGTACATTATTTACTCACATTCCTCACACCTCCACTCCCAATTTCAGATAAAATTTTGATTTATATAAGTGATCTCACCCCTGTGAATCCCAGGTTGCTTATGTGTGAAATGAAGAAGGATGTCAAAGGAGATAACCCTGTGTTCCTTGCCCCTGTTTTGGCCTTGAGACAGAAGTCTCTTGGAATAGAAGAGCAAATAATCAAGTTAATTAATTTTAAGAACTTAATTACAAATAAAGCACTGAGAATATCTGTTCAGAAACTCCCCAAGGAGAAACATAATCCTCCCTCAGTGCAGCGGGGGTTGTTCCTGAGGCTCCGTGGTCCAAGCAGCAGTCAGAGCCATTCTATTCTCTCACATGAGGATTTCTAATTTTCTCCTTCACAACTTAACAATAAGAGAGCAGCTTTTAAAAGGGGCGGGGGAGGTGTGAGAATTTTGTGAGAAAATATTTGTACTTTATATTTAATTACATTTTTACTAATTTTACACATAAGTAACTGTTAGTTAAATGTAATTTACTAATTCAACTAACTGTTAGGGTAATAAAAAAATAAAAAGATGTAGAATACAAACAATATCAGAATAAAGTTCTATAAACTGTTAAGAGAATATTCCATGCACACAAAACTTAGAAAGTTTTAGTAAAGTTCTTACTGTATTTTTATTCAATAACTGTAATTCTTCAGTAAAGCACCCTTTCTAGAAAAAAATAAAATAAAATTCTTCAATGTAGAATTACTCATCTATGTTTTCCCATATATTATCTAAAACATATTATAGCAAGAAAGAATCAGGTAATGATTTTTCAAATGCACATTTGAAGCTAATAGCTAAAATACAAATAAAATGAATGTTCAAAAGAAGAATAGAATTCTGAGTACAAGTAACAGAAATGTTAATATTTGCATTTATATTTTAGACAAAAATGTTTTTGCTAGTTAATAGTTCCCCATTTTGCAAATCTTAGAACAACTGCTATGCTTGTATTCTTTGTGAGGGAGGGTTCCTTATACATAAATCTACATGATGATCTGATTCTTGATAGGACTGAATACCTTGCTTCTCCCCCTAGAACTTCTGTGCTCTTGTAAACCAGATAAATCTTGGTATGTTGGTCACCATCTATACTCATCTCTAATGTCCTGAATTAGACCACTATTATGAATGAGCCATGTCATTAACAGACCAAACAAATTTATGTCTTTCCAAAATAAAATCATAAACTACATCACGGTGGTGATTTTCCTGGGCAAGGCTCATCACAAGTGACCAGGTGATGTGATCAGGTGCTACAGGGTTCAGTCTAAGGGTGTTTCTTCTTTTGTGAGTCTTAAGTGAGAGATTGCTTCATTCACTGGTCTAGTATGTTCAATAAGCTCAGGGGCCTGATTTTTCCATATGAGTTTGATATATTCATGCATCCCTGTGCTTCTGGTTAATTTGATAATTTCACAGGTGGTCATTTGTATTAGCATGGTTAATTTATTTATCCATTTGTACCATACTATTGTATGAGGTAGATGGTTTTTTACTTGTACAAACAAGGTGTAGAATCATTCTACCTACTTAACCTCAGAATGGAATAGCTTATAGTAAACTACTGCTTTATAAAATGGAGAACAAAATTAGGCACAGTCTGAGAACTATTGGTCTATACATCATGGAAAGACCCAGAACAGGGTTCAGTCTTCTCTCCACATCCACCCAAACTGTGTTTCCCTTTTCTCCCAGAATCTTCTGCTACTTTCATGGTTAACAAACCTATATTTAACTGCCTCACTAAACATATCTTCTATCTTTCTGCTTTACCTAAGATCCAGCTCACTATGGAAGATACAATGCTTTTCTTATAGACTGCTCAAGTGAAGGTACTTTTTCTCCAAAAGCCCTCCAGGTCAAGAGGTATACTTCACATAACCCTCAATTGCTTTCAAATTGTATTATTACAAAGGAGTATAAAAAAGTTTCTTCTTTTAAGTCTCATGCTTTTTGGTGATTCTATTGTTTTTCAGATATTTGCATCACTAATTCTTATTAGATAAAAAACAAAAGGAGTCTATTAGGTATAAAGAATCACAACAAGAAGTGCCAACTGGACAATGTGGAATCAAGGTGAAAACAAAAAGATTTTTATACATACCTGAATTACTTCATAAAGATGTACCTCAGCATTCCCTAATAAGACAGGATAAACTTCTGTCTTGCTATGTTGCATTAGTTCCAAGGAAATATTATTCCGTGTATCATCTTGACGTCGGGGAACCTCAATATCAAAATATATACAAAAAACCCCATAAGATTTTCAGTCTTAAATCCAGATATTATTTCCAAATAAACCTGAATGTGAAACTCTCAACCCTGTGATGTCTGAAGTACAATACTATAAATTATATTATGTGCATAACTAATTGTAACTAATAAAATCAGGACCTTGTTTATATCTAATGTTAATTATGATCTGTTTAAATCATCCATTGCCACTAACCCTTTTTTTTAATGCTACACAAACTTTCACTCTGAACTACTGAAACTATATTATCAAAGGTAATCCCATCAATATCTAATATGAAATCCAAATAATCCAGGTAATTCAAATTAAGGTTACCCATATATTCAAAATTAAAGAATATCTAATATCCTTTTCTGTCTCTATTCTTTAACATTTTGCCACATTTCTTTTTTTTTTTTAATCCTAAAGTGTTGGGGATCAAACCTAAGGTACAGCAAATGGTCTACCACTGAGCTATATCTCTGGCCCTTGTTTTTTAACTCATACCATTAAACTTGAATGTGAAACTCTCAACCCTGTGATGTCTGAAGTACAATACCATTATTATATAATGTTTACCTTTTATATACAATTTTGCTAATTAGAAACAAATCATATGCTTCCCCATTCCCAAGATCCTAGTTCCTTCTATAAAGTTTCTTCCCATGGTTGATACCACACAGTTGGTATGAAACTTCTGAAAGTTATGTTTGTAACTGTTTTCCCCTGAGAAATGAGAAAAAGGAAATGAGGCCCTGTAATGCAGTGCAGTGAATAAGAGAGAGAGCAGCAGGCTCAGTTTTTCAGCAATGTGGAATATAGATTATTAGAACCAGTTTGTTTAAAACTATCAATGCTGAATAAAAATTTAAAAGTTATCTTCTTAAAAGCATGAAAGTGTAAATAAAATGGTAAGAAATAATTACATAAACTCCAAGTATTAGTAAACATTTAGAGAGGTAAACTTGATCTTTAAGTTGCATTTTCCCATAGGGTATTTCTCAATCAGTTAACCCAAAATTGCAGTATTTAAGACCTTGAAAGATACAGAAAAGATAAGACAACAAGTGGGGCATTTAGGCATTAACAAAGGTTTCCTGTTCAACCCTTCTTCCATAATGCTAGGAACTCAAAGAGCTGTGGCTTCAGTGAATGGGGAACCATTCTCCCATCCCATTTATAGAGGCTGCAAGGAAAGTTGCACTATACAGAAGAAAGGGAGGCAAGGAGTTCCTAATAAGTAATAAGCAAAAACCTGTTTGAACTGTAGCCTAAATTCACATCCACTTAATAGCATAAAAACTCTTGAACCTGACATTTAAAATGGATGGTAAATTTTATATTATGTATATTCTGCCACAAAATTAAAATAGGACAACTTAATTACTTCATCCATTCATTCAATTATTTATTTATTGGTAATAGGGATTGAATCCAGGGACATTTAACTACTGAATCACATCCATAGACCATTTGTTTTGTTTTTGAGACAGGATCTTGCTAAGTTGCTTAGGACCTTACTAAGCACTAAGTTGCTGAGGCTGTCTTTGAACTTGCAATCATCCTGCCTCAGCCTCCAGTCACCGGGATTACAGGTATGCACTACTATGTCTGGCATAATTTTTTTTTTAATTCTCAAATATAACATTTGTTTTAAAGTGGTCCCAAATTGGTAGTAGTCTCACATGCCTTAAAAAGCAAACAAAGATCTTTTTTACATTTGCCACTTTCATTCTAGGCCTCAAAGGAGTTCCACAAATAATTTTCCATAGAAAATGAAAGCTCACAGTAAAAAATAACTAAGTAAGCATGGAAATAAAACACCATGAATGAGGATCAATAGAAATAGATCCACAAAATCCTCAAATGTTGGAATTTTAGAGAAATAGGCTTAGAATAATTAAGGTAAAAAAAAATCTGAAAATACATTCCTGATATGCCCTTTTATTTATTTATTTATTTTTCATTGTTGATGGACTTTCATTTTCACTTATTTGTATGTGTTGCTGAGAATCGAACCCAGTGCCTCATGCATGCTAGGCAAGTGCGCTACCGCTGAGCCACAACCTCAACCCCTCCTGATATGTTCTTACAGGAAAATGTAAAAACCATTTAGCACACCTGAACAAAGAAGACTCAAACAGAACTTGAAGAAATGAAAACTAAAATAATTGAATGAAAGCACTCACTGAATGGATTCTATGACAAAATACTCAAATTTTAACAAAATTAGTGAAATGGAATAAATATTCAAAGGTGTGGTGCAAGAATGTGTGTGTGTGTGTGTGTGTGTGTGTGTGTGTGTGTGTGTGTGTGTACTGCAGTGCTGGATATTAATCTTAGGGTCTTGCATGTGCTAGGCAAGTTCTGAGCTACAGTCCCAGCCCCAAAAATGCAAGGCAGAGACACAAAGTGATAGAAAAAAAACAAAGAGAGAAAGAAAAAGAATAAGAAAAGAAAGATAGGAAGAATGGTAGAGACGGAGGAAGAAAAAAAAGACATGAAAGATAACATAAGAACATCTAACACACGTTATTCAGAGTGCCAAAAAATAAAATAGAGGATCAAGAAAATGGGCAATAGAGGCACTATTTGAATTTTCAAAATTCCATTTGAAAAAATGAAAGCTAAAAATTTTCCAGAACCAATGAATATCAGCAATACGGTTTAAGTAGTCAATATATCCCAACATAACAAAAAGATATCCAAATACAAATACATTAGAGTAAAATTAGAAAAAAAAAACAACACACTCACACATAGAAAAAGATAAATTATTTTCAAAAGTGAAAGACTGAGATAACATATCCTCATCCCTCCCCCCTCTCCCCCTCCCCTTTCTTCTTCCCCCCCCCCCCCCCCCCCCCCCCCCCCCCCCCCCCCCCCCCCCCCCCCCCCCCCCCCCCCCCCCCCTCTCTCTCTCTCTCTTCCCCCCACCCACCATGAAGTGGACATCTTTCTTCCCCAATGGTATTCTGTCACTATGGTATTTGCCTTAGCTTGGGCTTACAGAAAACTAAGCCAACCATGGGCTGAACTTCTGAAACCATGAACTCAAAATAAAATTTTCCTCCTCTTAAATTTTCATTGTAGGATATTTTGGTCACAGCAATGAAAAGCTAACACAGAAAGTAAAATATTTATGCATTGGTGTATCTAAGTACATGAAATAAACAGTAATTGAAACAAAGGCTCAGATAAATTCCAAAAATAGCGGGTGATTTCAGCATGCTTTTCTCATCAACAGATACATCATCCATAGAGAAAAACCCACATAAATACAGTTTTCTTATACAAAAACAAAGGTGCCAAGAACATTAACTGGGGAAAAAATAACCTCTTCAACTAATGGTGCTAGGAAAACTGGAAATCCATATGTAGCAAAATGAAATTAAACCCCTATCTCTCACCCTGCACAAAATTCAACTCAAAGTGGATCAAGACCCAGGCATTAGACCAGAGACTCTGTGCCTACTAGAAGAAAAAGTAGGCAAATCTATACCATATCAGCTTAGGAATTGACTTCCTTAACAAGACTCCTAAAGCCCCAAAAGTAATAGCTAGACTAAATAAATGGGATGAATCAAATTAAAAAGTTTCTTCAAAGCAAAGGAAACAATCAATACCATGATGAGAGAGCCTACAGAATGGGAGAAAATCTTTCCCACACGGAACTCAGGTACAGCATTAATCTCCAGGATATATAAAGAACTCTAAAAACTTACCATCAAAAAAACAAATAACCCAATCAATATATGGGCTAAGAAACCGTTTTGGCACTTCACAGAAGAAAAAATACAATCAATCAACAAATATATAAAAAAAAAAGTTCAACATCACTAGGCATTAGAGAATGCAAACCAAAACTACACTGAGATTCTATCTCATTCCAGTCAGAATGGCAATTATCAAGAATACACAGGGGGGCTGGGATTGTGGCTCAGTGGCAGAGCACTTGCCTTGCATGTGTGAAGCACTGGGTTCAATTCTTAGCCTCACATAAAAATAAATAAAATAAAGGTATTGTGTCCATTTACAACTAAAAAAAAATTAAAGAAAAGAATACGCAGGGCTGGGATTGTAGCTCAGTGTTGTAGCTCAAATAACTTGCCTAGCATGTGTGAGAAACTGGGTTCTATCCTTAGCACCACATAAAAATAAAAAAAAAAAGGCATGCTGTCCATCTACAACTACAAAAAAATTTTTTTAAAAAGAGAATACAAGTAACAATAAATGTTGGTGAGGATGTAGGGAGAAAAAAGGTATACTCATACATTGCTGTGGGGCTGCAAATTGGTGCAATCACTATGGAAAGCAGTATGGAGAATCCTCAGAAAACTTGAAATGGAACCACCATTTGACCCAGTTATTCCACTCCTCAGTTTATACCCAAAAGACTTATAATCAGTATACTATAGTAATGCAGCCACATCAATGTTTATAGCATCTCAGTTCACAATTGTTAAGCTATGGAACCAATCTAGGTACCCTCCAACAGATATATGGATAAAGAAAATGTAGTATACATACACAATGAAATATTACTCAGCCTTAAAGAAGAATGAAATTATGGCATTTGCCAGTAAATGGATGAAACTGAAGAATATCATGCTAAGTGAAATAAGCCAATCCCAAAGAACCAAACAAAAACCAAATGTTTTCTCTGATATGTAGAAGCTAATCTATCACAGGGGATGGGTAGGGAAGAAAAAAGGTACTTTGGGTTAGACAGAGGGGGAGTGAAGGGGGTGATATGGGGGTAGTAATGATAGTACAATGAATCAGACATTATTACCCTATGTGCATATATGATTACATGACTGGTGTAACTCTACATCATGTATCAAAATGCATTCTACTGTCATACATAACTAATTAGAATAAAAAATAGGTCATCAAGATATAAAATCAGCAAAGACATCTCAGACCTAAAAGATACCTTAAATCAAATGGAATTATCAGATATTTACAGAATTTTTTATCCCAAAACAGCT